GAGATAAAATTATATATTCTAGGTCATATAGCATAACATATATATGTATACATATATATACACACACATATATTTGGATTCTAAAAAATATTCTCATTAAGAAATGTCTATAATTTGTAGACATCTTAATAGAAAAGTCTTAATTTACACATAAACTTTGGTAAAAAAACATATTTTAACCTGATCTACCATGAAAAATACCATCATTATGTTGTCAATGGAAATAGTGACTTATCTCAACAGCAACAACTTTCTTTCTTACTTAATAGGCCGACATAGTAACTTTATAAATGACCTTCCCATTTAATTCTTAGACACTGCTATTTATTTATTAGCATCAAGACTGAAGATGGAAAGTGAAATTGAAGTTCCCTTCTTAAATTCAGGAAAGGTATTCAAGGCAAACCAGCTCAGCTAAAAAAAAAGTGCCCTGGCATTGCTTTTGATATAATTGCTAAATTAAGTGTATTGAAGTAGGACTTCAGAGTAAGTTGTGATAAATGATGATCCTTAACTAAGAGAGGTGGAGAAAAATTTGTCCATCATATTAAATCAAATTTAAATTTAGCTTATGCCGATATTTGCTCAACAGTAAAGGCTGAAATGGATTCAGAAAATGTAAACTGATTGTATGCTTCATGAAAGCAAGGATCACACCTGTTTTGATTACCACTGTATCTCTAGTTTCTACTACTATCTCCAGTTCCTATACTGGCATAAACACTCAGTAAAAAGCCTTGAGGGACTGACCTGCCAATTCCATTGTTCCTAGGTGGATACATAATAATGCCAGGGATTGAGAGCGTGCCCCCAAGAATCCAAAGTGAGTAGGATTTTCTGATTTTTTACTTAAAATCAACCCAAAAAAGATCAGACATGCCTTCAGCAGACCAAAGGCCTAGTTGTTAAGCACACAAGAAGGAAGGGCTAATGCTGGCGGTTGGCAGAAGCATTCTGGCTAAAAGGAAACTCACCATTTCTTTTTTATCCTAACCTCACTTAAAGAACCTGATCAAAGTCATTTTTTATGAGAAATCTTCATGGAAAGGATATAAGAACTAGAACTAAGAGAACATGCTCTTACAACTTCTCTCCTGTATCTATTTCAACTGATGGGCAAATACGTGAAGCCAAATCTGAGAGTTGGGCATTCCAACAGATTAAATTTGGGGAAAGAAATTCTCTATAGGGTTTAATCTATCTGCTAATATTATTTTACTTTGATTTGCTCTACATGTAAGNCAATCTATTTCTGATAATTTTACTAACAAGAAAGAATGCCCCAATAATGAAAACATCTATAAAACATTTCATCTCTTTATGAAATTAAAGCAAAATAAAATGAAAACATAACTCCTTAGGTATATTCTGAAAAACTCGTATAATAAAGATAATTATTTTTGAATAAAAGTCAGTAAGAAATCCATGAATATTTTAAGAAAAAATAGAAAAAATACTTAGTCTTAAAGAGAAAAAAGAAGTTAAAAGTTGAAAAATCATAGAAAAGAAAATGTTAGAAAAGATGAAGATCATAGCAAAACTCAACCTTGAGCATAGGAGAGTAATTTCTTTAAAAAGTCTTAGAGAGCTGGACTGTTAACAATACTAACATTTTTTTATTAATACTTTAATATAAAAAAGAAAAAACAAAGAACATTTTGTTGCTATAAACAACCCTTTATCCTGTACTTAACATCTTTATTTCCCATTTATGTTAGCATCTTTCCTATTACTATATTCAGAGGTTGTAAAAGCACTGTTAGTACTAGTTTTTGCATAGTTCATGCATTCTCAGGTAAATAGATAGAAGACTAAGTGAAAGCAGTAAGAAATTAGACATTCCACATAGAAGTGCAGAATTCGAAGTACGTCTCAAAGGAGAAGAAAAATGGGAAAAAGGTAGAACAAAGAAACAATGTACAAGAGAAGTAAGAAAAATAATCTGGAACAAACACAAAATGTAATTATTAATATTACTTGAAGCTTGATAACTGACTTTTAAAACAACAGGTACACACTAGATGGTTGCTTTATAAGGAAAGTTATTTCTGAGTTTGGCTTGGGTCTGTAATTGAAACAGACCAAAAGATTTTAGCTTTATTTTGCTGTTTTTGTTTATGCAAAATAAACAGTTAATATTGGGTGAAGGAGTTTAATTTTTAAAATTGTTTAGTTATAAAAGCATTAATTAAGATAGTCTTTAAATTATAACTTGAAGTTTTAAGCTATTGCTTAAAATTGTAGGTATCTAAAAGAGCAGGTGTCCATATTACCCAAGTTGTTAGAGCAGGATCCCACCTATGCAAAAAGCACTCATGCATTAACAAAAAAAACATTTTTATTACGCTTTAAGAAAAACATAATTGACAAACCCTTCAATTTTTTCATGTTTATTTACAGGTTAAGAATAAAAAAATACTGACATTTATAACACATAATGTCACAAATCTACACAGGAAAATTTTAACTTCAAGTAGATGATATGAAATAATATGTCAGTTTATCTTTATTAACTGCCTAACATATTCTACAGAATATTTCTCATTACACAAAAAATTCTTACCTTCATCCGATAATATTCTGTCTTTTCCCAGACTTTTCTTTTCAAGGTTATTCAAAATGAAGTCTTCTTGAAAAACATGAAGCAGTTGGGTTTTTTTGCCTTGCTGAATGTAAATAAACAGCAACATAAGTTGACATCTATGTTATTTACCTAACTCTAAGCGGCCAGAAAAGGAATACTTACAAGTTTGGTAATGGGATCTAATGCGATAATGCATCCTGGCCTGGCTGTTGACTGCTGACTTACGATGTTAAACACTTCACCAACATATTTCTGTTTTTAAAAAAAAATGGTAATCTCCTTTATTAAACAATTAAATTAAAAAATAATTAGTAACAAATAACACGGAATTTCAGGCATAACAGATCAATCATAAATAGGTTCAAGCAGTGCTAAATAAGTTCACAAGTCTCTTTCATTATAAACATTCTAGGACTTGACCTTATTAGGGAATTACACAGGAATGAATAAGAATTACAGGTCAGTTGGTACGGAGAAAAATAAAAGCAATGCTTGGGGAAAAGTATTTCATATCCAAAAATGTGAAAGACTGCCTTCAGGCTCATAGAAATGTTCTAAGATTCAATGGCTTTTTTTAAGCATTAATTTTCAGGTGAGAAGGATGGAGTGAAAGAAACACGCTGACATACTGTTTATATATGCTGATTTCTTGAGCCACTTATATCCTGACTGCTCCAGTCAAGGTCACATTGTTAAATTCAATCTGCACCATACTTGATTATCAGCAGCATTTGATTCTGGTGATCACTGCCTCCTCCTTGAAATAATTTTCTTCACTGGGGTTCCAATACAATGACCCAGGATTCTATCACTTCTACTTTCCAACTACAGTATATTCTTTCCCTCGGTGACCTCACTCATCCAGCTCCACAACTTTAAATTCATATTCTGACAACTTATTTTATATCTTCAGAACAGCCTCCCTCTCTAGATAATAGCCTACTGAGTCTTTTAGATGTCAAACAGGCATCTCAAAATTAAAATGTTTAAAGCCAGGCTCATGAATGCCCCTGCTCCTCAAAATCTGCTACTTAAACATTCTTCTCTTCCCAACTGAGAGGCAATTCTACTATTCCTAAGCTCAGACACAAAACTTGGGAGTCATTCTCTTTTTCTCACACAAGCCTCATAGCCAGTCCAATCCTGACTATTCGATGTTCAAAACATCCAGATTTGACCAGTTCTTATCATCTTTATCACTACCACTGGCTACCTACCTTTCTAAACTCCTTTGATGCTCTCCCAGACTACTGTAGTAGCTTCCTGAATTGGTCTGATTCCACTTCTGCTTCCCATATCTAATCTATATAGCAATCAGAGTGATCCTTTTAAAACATAAGTGAGTTCTATCACTCTGTCATTTTCTTCCATGGTTTCTATACTATTCAGAGTAAAAGCTAAAGTTACCACAATAGAATATGAGGTCTTACGTGCTCTGGCCAGGCTGACTTTCTGACTCATCCCTGAATATTCTCCCTCCACCTCATTTACTCTGCTCCAGCCACATGGTCTCCTTGCTGCTCCTTTACATACCAAACACGGCCTGGCCTCAGAGCCTCTGCACTGACTGTTCCTCTTCCTCTAAATACTCTTGCTCTAAATATCCACATAGCTAGCCCCATCATCTCCTTCCAGTCTTTACTCAAATGGTACCTTTTTTGTGAAGCTTTCTCTGATTAGCACCTTACTTAGCACTCCCCTATGTCTTTAGTTCTACTGTTTCTCTCCACAGTATTTATTAATATATCTTCACCTCCTCCACCCCCCAAATTCCTTCACTAGAGCTCAGATTTTTGTCTGTTTTGTTCACATCTAAATTCACAGCATTTAAAACAATTCCTGAAAAATAGGTCCTCAATAAATACGTTTTTCTACTATAACACTATATGTCTTGAAAAACTGTGTTCTGCAAAACTATGCATTAAGAGTAAAAACAGCTCAGAAATAAAACAGGATAGGAGCAGACCACTGACACCTATCCAATTCTATAACCAGAGCATTAATAAAACATTAATTGGTAGTTGAGGAGATGGCTTCAATCTCCTAAACGGAAAGCTCAGTATGGCTGAAGGTTATCTCAGGGGATATTTTAAAACACCACAGCCAAGAAAGTGGAAATACTGGCTTGCTGGAGGTGCTGAAACAATGCAGATGGTGGACTGTTATTAGTTGGGCACAAGAAGAAGTGCCACCTGTCCTAAAACACAAGCTTTGCAATGGTGTTGAAAGGACTCCTGCCTGTATTGCAACCAAGCTGAGAGTTTTTCCTTCATTGGTTAAAATTAAAATTCCACTCCTGTTATTCCAGCTTACCCTTGCCTAGAAAAAA